AGAGAGAGAGAGAGAGAGAGAGAGAGAGAGAGAGAGAGAGAGACTCACTCACTGTGTAGCCCTGGCTGGCCTGGAACTCAATATGTAAACCAAGCTGGCCCTGAACTCAGAGAGATCCACAGGCCTCTGCTTTCTGAATGCTGAGATTAAAAGCTATCACCACCACACCCAGCTATTCTAGGAATTTAAAAACAGATATGAATTAAGTCCAGCACACCAAAATTTGGCAGGGAAAGTGTGGCATTTCACTCTGTTGGTTTTCAATACTATAGCTACATACATGCACATAGGTCTCATGAATTGTTTTCAGGATCAATTACTGCTTGAACCCCTTATTTCTAAGAATCAGGAAGTTGAGATAAGGCTTATTGTCTGTATTTTGTTGCTGAGTTTATCATGGACCTTATATTACTTTTCTTGTGGCTGTGATAAAATACTTAACAATCTGAGGGAGGAAGGACTTATTTGTTGGCCCCACACCTTGGGCAGAAGGTTGAATTGGAAGTAGCACGGAGGAGAACCTGTTGTTTGCTTCTTGGCAGACAGGAAGCAGAGAGAATGGGAATACGGGAAGAAACCAGAGCAATAAACAGCCCCCAAGGACACCCCCCCATCCCACTTTCTCCAACTATGCTCCACTCCCTACCTTTCACCATCTCTCAGTAATGAGACTGTATTATGAATCCCTCAAGGGCTTAATCCACTGCTTAGGTCAGAGCCCTCCTCATAATCTAATTTTCTCTGGAGACACCAAAGGTATCTGTTTCACTAATCCCCTAGGCTTTCCTTAATCCAATCAGGTTGGCAATCAGAGTCAATCGTAACAGACTGGTGTCTTTCCTATGCATGTTCTATCTAGAACTGAGTGGTAAGTAACCTTTTGGGAAATGATGGTGTTGAACTCATTTTTAAAATAATGTAAACCCCTTTGGTAAGTTCCTTATGAAACGATGCATTGTGTGTGTTCATTCCTGTGCCCATTAGGATTACCCCATCCATTCTGTGGAAGACAGACACAAATTGGCTGCTCAGGGGAAATTTGTGACGACTGAGTTCGAGCCATGCTTCGATGCTGCTGACTTCATTCGAGCTGGAAGAGATATTTTTGCACAGAGAAGCCAGGTTAATAAAAACTGGCTGGGAATTTTCACATTATATTGCTTATTCTTAATTCCTAAACTAAAAATTTTAAATCTTACATACTTTTGTTTTTCTAAGCTTAGAACCAAATCTTTATAGAGTGAATGTCTTCTTTTTATTTTTAGGTTACAAATTACTTGGGCATTGAGTGGATGCGTAGGCATCTTGCTCCAGACTACAGAGTACATATCATCGCCTTTAAAGACCCTAATCCAATGCATATTGATGCCACATTCAACATCATTGGACCTGGTCTTGTGCTTTCCAACCCCGACCGACCATGTCACCAGGTAAGAGAGTTCTTAGGACACTGGAAAAGCCAGAGAACATAGCAACTTTAAACAATAGAGCCTTGACACTTTTAAGTACTTGTATGACTTCTAATGGTTCTAAATGACAAATTTAGCAATGTTCAGTGGTATTGTTAGCAAACATTGAATTGCTAGTGGTATATTTACTACAAGATGTTCAACACTTAGGAATTTATATTGTTGCTGTGATAATTACGGCAGTAGCATCAGACTTGGACTTTAGCTGTTTGCCATTGTCAAAGCATCAAATTTATGGGTATGAGTATATTTTTATTCAGTGGGATACCCCTATAATTTACAATTGCAGTTCTACAAAAGTGTAAGCAGGTGACCTCTGCATGGCCAAAGCAATGTCAGTGGTCAATGGGTATTTTCCCTCCAGTGGATCAGACGTCTTCAGCCTTCCCCATTCTACGGGGAAGAGTAGAGCTGCTGCACTGCTGCGGGTGTCTCCATCGCCTGCAGCCTTCCATCTTCTCCTTGCTGCCCTCTTGTCCCAGCTATTTGCGAGGCTGAAGAACACCTTTACATTTTTTTGATTGGTTGATTTTTTAAAAATTTTATGTGTATGAATGTCTTACCTGCCTGTATATAAATGTACCACATATGTCCGATTCTCATGGAGGCCAGAAGAGAGCATCACATTCCCTGGAACTGGATTTACAGATGGTTGTTAGCTACCACGTGGATGCTGGGAAACCGAACCCAGGTCCTCTGGAAGAGCGGTCAGTGCTGTTAACCCCAGAGTCATCTCTCTAGCCCTTGTAATATACTTTTTAAAAGGTACTTTCATATTGTACACAGTTAATTTCGATCCCTTATTTTCATACCTAATGACCAATATTACTTAATTTTAATATAATTTGTTGATATACCAAGTGGGTGTGTGGGTGAACATAGAGATGGTTGATGTATAATGGGTATCAATGGCGATTATGGTGCTTCGAGGCAACATCCCAAACATTTATCCTTATCTGTGCCACAAAATGATGGGACTGTGAAGTAGACAGACTATGATTTTTGTCGCAATCACATAGTTATTTTCTTATAGCTAAATAGAAAATATTTTAAATTTCTTTAGTGAGTCTATTTTAGGGAAGCATCTTTGGTATTTTAAAATTTGAAAACTGGAAAAAAACTTTAGTATTTCTGTTACTTTCTAACTTTTTTTGGAGTGTGTGTTTTAAGTTTGTTCTTTGAAAATTACATACATATGTATAATACATTCTTATTACTCCTTTATCTTCCTGTCACCTCCACTAACCCCATCACAACTAGTCACCTTTTCAGATTTACAACATTTAGTTTTGTTTGCTGACCCATTTAGTTTAATCAGGGCCATTTTTGTGACTGTTGGATTGGAACTATCCATTGGCATCTGGTGTGGTCACCAGGGGTTACGTAAGTGAAGGTAATGAATCTAACAGTAGCAAATGATTCAGCAGTGACCGAAGGGCCACCAGAACCCCTCCTCCATCCACACCTGACTGTTGACAGACCCATTCTTGTACACACCTAGCACAGGAATTCACAACTATTTACAATTAGGTTCTAAACAAAATAATCCAATTTTTTTAGGAAGTTTTATTTCCTATTTTGGAAGCTGTAGAGACAGCTTGCCAAAAAGACTAATGATAAAGAAAGCTAGGTGTCATGGCACATGCCTATAATTGTAGCTACTTGGGAGGCTGAGGCAAGCAGATTATAAGACCAAGGCCAGCCTGAGCTATAGGGCAAGACCCTCATCTAAAAAAAATGATAAGGTCTGTCAGAGATCAAAAATAAAAATAGTCAATATGGATTTAAGCCTTTTTGGTTTGATCTTACAGATTGATCTTTTCAAGAAAGCAGGATGGACCATAGTCACTCCTCCAATACCTGTCATCCCAGATGGTATGTCTACTTTTATGTCTTTGTAGGAAAATGATCACTTTAGTGACCAAGAATCTTTCACCTAGAGAACAGCCAGTTTTTCTCAAATTAGAGGATTTATTTCCCCACCGTCTAGTTTGTTCTTCATTGCTGTGACAAAACACTCTGACCACTACCAACTTGGGGAGGAAAGGGTTTATTTATCTTACATCTCCCAGGTCACAGTTCATCAGGGAGCCCAAGGTAGGAACTCCTGGAGGCAGGAGCTGGAGCACAGGCCATGGAGGAATGCTGCTTACTGGCTTGCTCCCCTGCTCAGCCTGCTTTCTTATGCAACACAGGCCCACCTGCCCAGGGGTGGCACCACTCACAGTGGGCTGGGCCCTCCCACATCATTCAACAATCTAGAAGGTGCCCCGTGGACATGGCCACAGGCCAGTCCAATGAAGGCAATTCCCCAGTTGAGGCTCCCTCAACCCAGGTGTGTCAAGTTGACACTAAAGCTATCCAGCACACCCACTTAGGAGTAAAGAGGTGGGTGAACCCTAAAATAAGGCCAGGATGTGTGCTTGAGACATTTCCTTTCATAGAAAACAACAGTGAGAAGACAGAATTAAACAGTATCACATGCACCAAGATAGGACTCTTAAAATAAAATGGATGAATTTCAAATGTGTAATGTTTATGGATTGATTTATAATGTTTGTAGATATGCAGTTTAGATTAAAATAAGTTTTCAGAGTTGGGACTATAGTTCAATGGTACTGTAAAATAATAATACAAAGTAGGGCAGGTGGAACTGGCCTATAATATCAGCTCAGAAAGGCTGAGGCAGGAGGATTGCAAGTTCAAGGTCATCTTGGGTCGTAGAGAAATCTTGTCTCACAAAAAGTAAAATGTGATAATAAAGTAAGTTTTGATATGTAAAGTGAAAGAGGGAAAGGACTGGGATGTCCCTTTAGTATCTGTCACTTGTAAATCCTTGCTGTGAACAAAAATGGGACCAGACATAGTTTAACAGTTGTTCCTGTTTTCAGATCATCCACTGTGGATGTCGTCCAAATGGCTTTCCATGAATGTCTTAATGCTGGATGAAAAGCGCGTTATGGTAGATGCCAATGAGGTCCCAATTCAAAAGATGTTTGAGAAGCTGGGTATGTAGTAAATGCAGCATGTTGTCATGTGTGAAGATATCCCACAAGAACTGAGGAAAAGGACTACACAGTCTAATTGTTTGTCTTATTTGATTTCTGTTCCTTTTGAAGGTACCAAATTACTATTTTATAAATGGACAATATTTTGTTTCTAACAAGCATAGCTTAAAAAATTGGAGATGCATTCTGAGTCCCTGAAACACCCCCTTAGCAATATATTTATTGATCTTCTATAACCCCACTGGTTTCCTGGTACCTGTGTGTTGAGAGTTATCCATTTTCTGATAGATTGCTCTGCCTTTCTCCAAAGAAGAAATTACTGAGGGTCCTTTGGAAGTCATTTAATGGTCATCACACATTTCAGAAAAGTCACTTATATGTGCATTAAGTACAGTTAACACACTTCTGAAATGCAGTGAGGCACATTAGCCAGTCACCCAGCTTTTAAAGAGCAGGATTGGGTTTTACTTGGGGCAAAGTTTTTCTCTCTTGATACTCAGAATTTAGAGCAGTGATTCTAATACTATAGAGGAAAATGTTAAAGGCAAAGATTTTCATGTGAGTTGCTTACTTCTTAGTACAGATGTATGTTACATACCACTCAACATATTTGATATATCCTTGCTATCAATTAAGTGACAGCCAGAGAGTTTATTTCTTGAAATTATGTCTTAAAATTTTGTCTTGTATTTCAGATATACTACCCAGAAAATTTTCTTCTTTAATAATCCCCATTTAATTTGGTATCAGTTTAAATGGATGTGCCCGTCAGTTTTGAGTTGAGTAGAATCTAGTAATTCAGCCCCTAATGCCATGTCACTTTTTTCCTAACTTTCATTAAGTAACAAAATTACTTGGGTTCAATTTTTTCATCTATGAAGTTTTGTTGTTTCTCAAAATAGTTAGAAGTACCAAATATCTGACTTACAATTTACTTATGTAGTTACAGTCTGTTTAGACTCTGAGAACTTCTGTAAATAAGCTTCATCAAGCAGCTGAGGTACCTCCAATTCAGGATGCCCATGCTGTGATGGTCTGAACAGGACAGATATACTTTGTATTCCACATCCACTTTGTACCTGGGTTCAAACCTGCTTTTAGTCTTCAGAGCTCTTATTTTATTTTCTTCCTCAGTGGAGTCTGTCTCCTTCTTCTCCCCATCATATCAGTGAGCACTATAGTGACTCTCTGGCTTGTCTGCCCCCTCACACTAATGCTGTGTCTAGCACAATATATTCTTCCTAGATGCTGTTGTTTAAACAGACCATATACATTGAAGACCAGTCCTTATAGACGATGTCACATTAAACTGGTTGTCTGATTAGCTCTGATAGATATATAACCAAATAGCCCAGATATTAAAATAAAGCTTGGATCTATTATTCTCTTGAGGGGGGCTCATGCAGTTAATCTGCAGAAGGTCAAACTGTTCTTATATGTGCTTATGTAAAGTCAACTTTTCAGTACTTAATTTTAGTACTCGGTTGTTGAATATTTGGTGGGTATATCTACTCATCCATCTGTTGATTTGTGAGCAAGCAATGGAACAAAATTTGAGTCTTTGTTGACTTGTGTTGAAGATAGTCTATTAGCAATAGGATAGGTTAGATGAAATGTAGTTGGTGAAAATAAAATTGAAAGAGAAAAGACGATTGGTCTGGATAGGGCTATCCTGAAGGATTAGAACCACAGAGTTCCTCCAGGTCTTTAGACTTGCTTTCTGTAGAAGGATCTTACATTAGTTCATCTAACTGACCTTGTCTTTCTTTTTCAATACAGGTATCAGTACCATTAAGGTAAACATTCGAAATGCCAACTCTCTGGGAGGAGGCTTCCACTGCTGGACCTGTGATGTCCGGCGCCGTGGCACCCTTCAGTCCTACTTCGACTGAGCAGGCCTAATGTGGCTTGGGGCATGGCCTCAGATATACCTAAGAAGCTTGGGGCAAGGTTCGTTCTCTCGCTTTAAAAAGTGCATAGACTATAGTGCTTTGAACAATCACATCCTTAGCAGGGGTCTCAAGCCTGGTTTACTTTACTTTTCTTTGACCTAAGAGTAACTTCTGTTAGCATTACTTTCTTACCCTAAAGTTATTTACTATTTGGCTTCAAATATAAGAATTGGGTGAATGTGTAGCAAGGCAAAAATTAGTCACTTGAGTAACTTGGCCACTAATATTTAACCATCTACCTCTTTTTAATTTTCTTTCCAAAAGGCAGCTTAAAATGTTGGTCCTAACCTTACTTTTTTTTTCTCTTTTGGTAGACTTGTGAATGTTTGTATCTTTTTTTTCTCTAAATGGGAGAAAGACATAGAGAGATCTTAAGTAGAACCAGATATTTGTCTCTTTTTCTAAACACCAATTTGGATAGTTTTAAAAAATGACCTAGACTATGCAAACATTGAAGTGAGGTTTCCATGAATGTTTTTAATATTCTCATCTCAACACTGGTAATATGTGCTACTAAAAATCTTGTCATACAACTTACCTCATTTCAAGTGAGTTTTTATCTTTTTCCTTTCTTCCCCAAAATTTATAGAAATATTTTGTATGATAGGCTATAACTATCAGTTCCCATCCCTAAATTTTGATGTTCAATATCTCATAGTTACATTGCATCTTTGGTAATCTAAGACTTGTTTACAGATATGCATATTATTTAAAGCATAGAGCTTTAAAGCATTTTTTAAAACTAATGCAGATAAAGCATACATGTGATATAAAACAATTTAATGTTGGATACTGTACATGTATTTTTATTCTAATAAACTTTTGTGTTCCAGATTGGATTTGATCTCAGTCTGATTACTTTAGTGTAAGTTGTAGGAATGTATCTCTTGCAATAGAATTGTGTGTGTGTGTGTGTGTGCCCATGTGGGTGTATACACCTGTGTGGGTGTGCATGAGGAGGTCAGAGGTGGGCTTCGGGTGTCATTCCTCAGGTGCTATCCACCTTGTTTTTTGAGACAGGGGCTCTTTTATGCTGGCCTGAACCTCACCAAATAGACTAGGCTCATTGGCCCAGTAAGTCCCAGGGATCCATCTGTGTCAGCCTCCCCAGCACTGGGATTACAAGCAGGCACCACCATGCCCAGCTTTTTTACATAGGTTCTAGGGCTCAAACTCAAGTCCTCATATTTACACAAGTACTTTACCCACAGAGCTTTCTCCTCAGCCCATTTTGGATCAGAATTTTATGAAATAACATATTCATCCCAAATTCAAACCTAATACTATATTCAGAAATGATTAATAAAGACTAGTCACAAACCTAGCACTTGGAGGTGGAGGCAGGAGGATCAGGAATTCAGGGTCAGCCTCAGCTACATAGCTAGTTCAATGCCAGCCCGGGGCTACTTGAGACCCTGTTTCAGAAAAAAAAGAAGAGAAAAGAAAACATGAAGGGTAGACGGAAGGGTGGGTTAACAAAGCCACGTTTTGGCTTATTAATTTACTCATTCAAAATTCAACATTTTGTGATCATAGAAGACTGACTAGTCCTGGGCCCCTAAAAGAAAAAGTCTTAGTTCTGGAGTTGCTAAATGTTTTCAGTCATGAAAATCTTATAGAATGTATAGTTGAAATGAGTCACAGGTTTCACCACTCCTTTAACTGCTTTACGTGGGGTATCCTTTCTCATTCGTCACAGAATGTAGAAACACTGTAAAAGTATTAGCACTACACTTGGACTGACTCTTGCTTGAGAAATAGATGCAGCTGTGTAGATCAGTGCACCCTGAGGGCACACAGTCCCAGCCGGAATGGACGCTGCAGTCCTAATCCACAACCTCTGCGTTCAGCTCAGCCTTCCAGACCGTCAAACTATTTTCTCAGCTGATCATGTTTCATTTTTCACTGAGAAAACAGAGACGATCAGGCATCAGTTCCTTCAACTTCTTCTCTGATCTCCTATAGATATATGCGTGTACTGTGGGTAAGTCTCTCTCTGTCTCTCTCCCCTGGCCTTGAACAGCTAAACTTCTAGACAGAAATGGCAGGCTTTCGGCTCAGGGCTTGCATTTACGTCCCCAAACTAAAAATGCCACTTTTCTCACTACAGAAAAATCAGTGAACCCATTTAACAAAGGCTTTTGAGCATAATTTCTCTCTTCAGGAACTTGCTAGATTGGTAGCCATCTTTCTTACTACTTTCTTGCAGCTCCACCACCACCATCCCTGTGTATGTGTATGCTTTCCCACCTTGGGTGATACCAATCCCTTATACCACAATCAATATCTCTGATCCATTTTAAAGTCTCTTGATAAATTGATTTTTCATTTGTGAGCTACCATGTCTTACAAATTTCTATAGTTAAAAAAAGTACATACACATTCCACATATTTATAATTACCAGTTGATTTGGATTTAAACAGCTTACTGACCTACCCCAAAAGTCCAGCTACCCATAAATGGTGGTATGTGCTTCTAATCACAGCACAGCACAGAGAGCGAGAGGAGGATCACAAGTTCAAGGCCACCTGGGCTACATATTAAGACCTTGTATCAAAAAAAATCCAGCATAAATTTTCTTATATTTTTGAAGTAACTTTGAAGTTTATTTGGCTACCTTTATTTAGCCATATTTTCTCTATGGAATATATCTATTAAATGACTAAAACCTGTCATCAACCTATTACTCAAGTCAGGTAAATTTGGGGGCTAATCCTATTCCAAAGATATTTATTTGATCTACTGAATTTTTCACTTCCGTTATTTCAGTTTAGTTTTTCTTACCCTCTCCATCTTAAGGTGTGGCTCCCACTCTCTACTGTGGGTGTTCCCAGGAGGTAATGGGGAGCTCCCCAGACTGAGCCAAACCTTTCAGGATGAACTCTGAATTTACTCTCCTGATGTGTAAAGTTCTGTACTAGCTGTTAAAGCTACAAAGGTATGTGTCATCCACCCTTCCCCAGTTTATTCTCTGAAGACTCTGGCCAACCACCCCTGGGTGTCACCCACCATCTTCCCAGTCTTTCCCTATTGCTCAGTTTCCTATTGTTCATTTACTAGATTACTAGATCAACTTCACTGTCAATGACCCTAGAATCATTACACATCCAAATATATGGTCTGAGTGTTTTAATTTGTGTTCACTTCAGTTGCCCTGGAACACAAGAAATAGTTCAAGCCACTGAACTGGGATTCTTACTGTCTTTACTCATAAGGATTTTGCCACATGCTAAATTTATGGCAGCTGTTTTCCACACCAAGCTTTGGTTCTTGATCCCAGAGCTATCATCTGTGAACCAAGCTGATTACCAGGGTACTTTGTAGAAAAGATGGGGCCGTCAGCAATGACAGCAGGCAAGTCTCCCTGCTTAGAGGAAGCTCTATGATCAGTCCTAGGAGAAAAGTGCCTACTTGCTATAAACACACTGACTTCCTCCCATGGAGACTCCCAGTAGGAGGCCTCCACATATACCACTTCCATCTTAGAACTGCATTTCTTCGAATGTGTTCCTCTGTGAAGAAATACTTTTCCAATACCACACAAGCTATGTTGGGTATTTCAGGTCCTTTGGCTATTGAGACTTTCATAAATGCTCAATAGCAAGGTTGTTCAGTGTTTTCCAAATGCGCTATAATAGCAGTATTTGGTACTTTCCTAGTTCAGAGTCTCAGTTCACCCTTGAACAGGGGCTTTGGACTTTTGCCTAGGTGTTGGAGCAGCTGGCTGACATTTCTAATCCTGTTGCATTGCTGGGATTATGTAGTTGTAATGAAATAACAGGCTATAGACTTCTGTAGTGCTAAGAAACCTCTTATTCAAATAATCATATACAGCCCTTTTGTGAGACATTTTATGGGTTTGGGCTGACAGTCTCCCTAAGAGGATGTGATTCTCTAAATACCAAATGGGCCAACCAGATGTTGAACACCAAGTTTAGTGTGAGGAGGATTCAGCATCCTGCACTGTGCTGTCTCGGGCAGATTCATACCTCTTTAGGCTATCATCCAAAAATGTGCAGGAATCTCTCTGTCACTGCTCTCTTCCCTTCCCCTGGTATTTGTGGGGTTTTGCCTTTTTTTATTCTGCTGCTGTCAATTTAAGGCAGTTTCAGAAGAGAGTAAAATGTTTCTTTTATTTGCTTCAGAGCCCCAATCATGTGGAAATTTTTAGATAGTTATCAGTGTCACCATAAAATATAAAATGGATGGATTACCACCAATATCTTTGTAGGATTTTGTAGGATGTTGGTATGTGTCTCCTCACATTCCCCAGAATATAAAACTCTCAACACATATACAAGGTTTGAGTATAGTGTTTTCACTTTGGCCACAAAACTTGTGGATTTAAAAAACTAAGAAATCCATGTAAATAATACTTTAATGAAGTTTTTTTTTAATTATGTGTATGTGTCTGTGTGTGAGTATGTGCATGTGAGTGCAGGTGCCTTCAGAGGCCCGAGGCATTGGATTGCCCTGGGGCTGGAGTTATCGGCAGTTGTGAGCTACCTGACATGGGTACTGGGAACCAAATTTGGGTCATAAGACTCAGGAAGCTCACAAAAGTTACAAGTTCAAGAAGCTCATGGCAGTTACAGGACTCACAAGGCCCCGCCCCAAAGTTATAGAAGCAATGAACAATTCCTTGGAGAGAGAACATCTCAGTAGGGCTTCTTGGGATGCTGGGTAGGAGCTCATGTTAGGGTGAGCTTTTCATTGATGAAGTTGCTTAATGTTAATATTAGTGTCACAACAAACTATAGCTTTAAAAGTCCCACAGTGCTTAAAAAATCCAAACACTTTAAAAGTTCAAAGTCTCTTTTACAAGTCTCTTAACAGTGGGCTTCGGAAAAATCCAAGACAAGTACTGTCTAATTGCAAAGAGGAAGAATTGAGGACACTTAAGCAAAACCAAAGTCTAGAAAAGTAGCTCAAGGCTGGACATCTGGGATTCTCTCAAGATTTTCTGGGCTCCAAAGGGCTTGGGCAGCACCACTTCTCTGGCTCTGCTGTCCATAGTACACACAGCTTACCTCTTAGGCTCAGAGCAGCTGCACTCCACCCCTGCCACTGCCCTTGGTGGTCATCCCGTGGTCCTGGCTTCTCCAATATGCTGGGGTTTCTACTGAAACTGAGGCTGTACCTTCACTTCCCCAAAGGGCTCTTCTGGCCTCTCTGGATGCAGAGCCTCCAATTCTCTTCATGACCCCTTCACATCTCCAACACCAGAGTCATGCAGGAGACTCTTACACACTGCCAAGTCCTG